GGTCACATGGACTGGGATGGGCACCTTACACAATAGCGCTGAGGACCTTGTGGAAGGGCTGATGGGAACATAGACACCCAAGGGGGGACAACACCCAGAGTGATGCAGTGAGCAGCACTGGTCCCTCAAGCCAAGGAATAGCAGAATAAGGCCTCCTGGAGCAGGAGAGGGTCCTGGATCAGTTTCTCCCTGGGACAGGGAAGACCCAACTTGCCCAGCCAACCTCTAGGATTCTTCTTGGCCTCCAGATGAGTAGATCAGACCTCTTCAAAAATACTGCCCATTTCTCCCTGGTCCCAGCAGCCTGAACTCAGGAACACAAGTGCCCTCCTGTCTACCCATGCCTGCTCAGTTCCCTGGGTGTGCCCAAGATGACATCTAGGGCAGCCCCAGATGACCCTAGCCTGGGATGGATGTGATGAGCTCTATTTAACTCAGATGAAGCAGGCCCAGAGCCTGAGGGCCTCAGCTGGAGGGAGGGAGGTCATTGGAGTCTACTAGGCATAGTCACTGCTCCCCATACTCAGGCCCTTGGGACTCAGGGTCAGAGCCAGCTCTAGGACCCAGGGGTCACAATGAGCCTGATTCTGTCCTCCTGGATGCCCATTTGGTGGAGGGACTGACATGCATCCAGGAGGCCCTAGATGTCCCTGTGAGGGTTGCCAAGTTGGGCTCCAACAGTAATTCACAGCTTAACGTGGCCACTCTGGGGTCCCAGCTCACAGGACTAGCTCTCACCATGGTGCCATCTTGGATACTTTCTGCATGACATCTCTGGGGCTTCAGGGTCTCCCAGGTCCCTCTCCCCCTTTTCTCTCTTCTCCTACCAACACCTCATTCACAGACCCTGCCTGGCCTGGCTGTCTCTCCCCTCCTGATTTCCTAGGGCTTCCTCCTGGACAGGCCCTGCTGAGCTCAGCCCAGGTGCCCACCATCTCCTCATGCTTCATACCTGCCCTCACTCCATCTCCTGCACACTTCCAGCAGGCTGACCACTGAGGGATGGTGGAGACAGGGCATGGACCCCGGCTCAGGAGGGTATGGTCCAGTCAGGGGGTTCAGATGCTCACCAAGTAGGGGATCTAGATACAGGGGGCCCCAGAGACCTGGTACACTATGAACACAAAGCAACAAGTGACAGGGGGTTCCCCCTTTCTCCCTGGGCCCCAGGGCATGGCTCACCCACCCCATGCAACCACACACCTACACCAGGTGGCCTCGTCCTCTGACCCAGAACCTCCCAGTAAAAAGGGAACTTCAGGAAGCAGCCTGCCACCCACTTTCAATCCCCTTCTTAGTCTCCAGGGCCCGGGGGGGGGGGGGGCGGGTGTCCACACCCCTGGGCACAAGAGCTGTGAATCCTAGGAAGACAAGGCAAAGCTGAGCTGTGACAGCACAGAGCTGAAACAAGAAGTCTGGGAACCACCATGGGTACAGCTCGGTAAGCGGGCTGGGAAGGGAAGGAGGCATGAGGATGAGGAACACTTCACCTTGCACAGCTAAAACCACAGAAGGGTAGAAGAAGGCTAAGAGATCTCCCCACAGAAGGTCCAGACCCTGCCACAGGTGCTACCTTCAGCCTCCAAGCCCACATGAGAGGGATCAGGGCCAGAGGCAGAGGTACAGCCAGACCACCTGAGTGAGACACACTAGGGGGTGACAATAGCCCCCTAGAAAATGTGACAAGGGAGCAGGAGCACACCAGAAGAGCAGACAAGGCTTGTCCTAGAGGCAGCACAGACAACTGAGGAGAGCAGAGGAAACAAAAGAAGGAGGGAGAGGAGCTTCCAGAGTAGGCCAGGAGCTTATTTCAGGAGGAAAACAGGATAAAGCCTCAAAGGGCCGGGGGATAGGTGCCAGGGACTAAGGGGCAAGCCCAGATCAATGATGGATACGGCCAAGAATGAGGCAAAGCTGAGCTGAGAGTAGGAAGGAAGCCTGAAACACCACAGGAGCTCAGAAGACCAGGACAGAACAGCAGCGGGTGAGTTGAGGCAGCTGGGGGCTACAGAGTCTATGGCAGTCCAGGAACTCAGGAGACCAGGGATGAGCATATCAGGTGAGCAAGGGCAGGTAGGTGCTAGAGGAGGCAGGGCAGTGCCAGGAACTCAGGGACCTGGGCAGAGCAGCTGCAGGAGAGCAGGGGCAGGTGGGTGCTGGAGGGACCAGGGCAGCCTCAGGAGCCCAGTGGAAGAAGGCAGAGCAAATGCCAGTGAACAGGGAAGCTAGGCGTGGAGGGGGCAGGATAGGCCCTGGAACTCAGGGAAGCAGGGACCAGAGTAGAATAGCTATAGATGAGCAGGAGCTCAGGTGATCAGCACAGAGTAGCTGCAGGTGAGCAGGGCAGGTGGTTACTGGAGGGGCCAGAACAGCTCCAGTTGCTCGGGTGGCCAGGATGCAGCAGCTACAGGAAAGCAGAGTCAGGGACATGCTGAAGGGGCCAGGGTAGCTTCAGGACATCAAGGGAGCAGGGCAGAGGAGCTGAAGGTGAGTTGAGGCAGGTTAGTGCTGGAGAAGGCAGGGCAAGTCCAGGAGCTCAGGGACCTGAGCAGAGTAGCTGCAGGTGATGTGAGGCAGATAGAGGGTAGAGGAGTCAGGTAAGGCCCAGGAGCTCAAAGGATGAAGGCAGAGCAGCTGCAGGTAAGCAGGGACAGGTGTGTGCTAGAGGGGCCAGGACAGCCCCAGGAGCTCAGAGACTGTGGCAGGGCAGCTGAAGATGAGATGGAGCAGGTTGGAGGAGCCAGGGCAGCCCAAATGCCTGTGAGCAGGGTAGCTAGGTGCTGGGATGGGTAGCCCCTGGACTCAGCGAAGCAGGTACCAGGGCAGAACAGCTATAGCTGAGCAGGGGCAGGGGCAAAGCAAATGCCTGTGAGCAGGGTACCTAGGTGCTGGAGGGGACAGGATAGCCCCCAGGAATTCAAGGGAGCAGTGCAGAGAAGCTGTAGGTGAGCACAAACATATCATAGTGTTTATTCCATCGTAGTGGATATTCCAGGGTAGCCCTGAGAGCTCAGGGGACCAGGGCAGAGCACCTGCCAGTGCACAGGAGCAGGTAGAGGTGCAAGAGGTTCCAGGAGAAACCTCAGAAACTTAGGGATCCAGGGCAAAGCAGCTGATGATGAGCTGTAGGAGGGGATGTGGAAGGGCCAGCACAGCCCCAGGAGTCAGGGTGTTGAAGGCTGATAGGAAAACAGGGCTGGCAGGCTTAGCATGAGACTCTTGGCAAAGAGGCAAAGCCTGAGGAGTTCAGGCCCTGGCAGGAAGGGGCAGAGGAGGGGATCAGGACTCCTCAGGCTGAGGTATGTCGGCAAGTAGCATGTCAGGAAGCCCCTGGGGCTCAGGGGACCTGCTCTTCCTCCTCCCACCTGAGCCAGCTCACCATTCACTGCTCTGCCCTGTCCCCCTGAGCACATGCTCTGTCCCCCTCCCACCTTGCAGTCTACCTGTATGCCCAGGAGAGTAAGGCCTGGGGCTTGCAGAGGATGTGGGGTGGGGTGGGGGGAGACACAGGGACTGCAGGGAGGCAGGGGTTGCTGCAGAGAGCACCTATCCTGGGCACCAGGAGGGTTTGTGCAAGTTCCCTGGGGCTGGCGCCCCCAAACACACCTGATGAACTGCAGTTCTGGGGTCAGTCTGGCTCTGCTCCAGGGGGCTTGTGGGGACTGGGGTGGGGGAACCCTGCTGAAGCAGCACAAGGAGGAACAGGACAATTGGTACCATAGCGGGGACAACAAGAAACCACTGAGGGCCAGAGTAGAGTCTGCTGGACAATGGGGTACAGGTGAGGGGAAGGGAGGCTGGCAGAGGCCTGAGCTGAGGATAGCAGACCAGGAGGGAGAGGACAGGGAGACTTAGCTTCCTCAGGGGTCAGGGTGCACTCTAACCTCCAGGGACAAGGGCTGCTGGCAGCAGCAGAAAGCACAGGGGCTTTCCTGATGCCCCCAGGGCCAGCAGCATGCAGGGGATGAGGCAAGGCCAGGAGTTCAGGGGGAGAGGAGGTAGTGGGCACCAGAGCCAAGCTCAACAGAGCCCATCCTGGAGGAAGCCCTGGGGAGCACAGGAGGCGGGAGGCAGCCAGACCAGGGTTGGGCAGAAACTGGGCAGATGTGAGACAGGGCTCTGGGTGTGTGCCCCTGAATGAAGCTCAGAAAGTCATGCAGGGGAGCCTAGGAGTAGCTATGCCCAGAGCCCAGGTTTAGGAGCCTGGCTGTCAGTGTGTGTGCGGGGGGAGGGGTAAGGACCTGAGGAGATATCTCCTGGGATTTCCTTCAGAGCAAGAGCATGGGGGTTTTCACTCAGAAAGGACCCCAGAGGAAACAGCCCTATAAGGCAAAGGTCAAGGCAAGGCTCCGGGAGCAGGATCTGGGGGCAGAGTCAGGTTTGCACCAGGCCCAGGGTGTGTGCATGACCAAGGTTCCCATTCTAAGGAGTCGGTTCTCACTAGGGCAGAGCCAAGCTGAGTGACAAAGTTGTGGCTGTGCAGAGATCACAGGACCCAAGGATGGGGACACAAGTCAGGCCAGGCAGCCAGAGGAGGCCATATAGGGACAAGGACTTTAGGGTCCAAGTAGGAGCCCATGAGAAACAGACAAGCAGAGTCATGAAAGGGGCTGCAGGCCCAGGGATTCACCAGTTTCACTGGGTGACCAGGTTGAAGACAGCTGCCCAGGAGCAGGGACAGGAGGTTGCAGAAAGGCACAGAACACCACTGGAGAGCTGGGCCTGCAGCATTCTGGAAGCACACTGGGGACAGGTTGGGCTTGGGAAACCACTGCCCTGGACTTGCCTGGAGCTCATGGGGAAGGTTGGATAAGGCAGGCAGTTGGGGCCAGGTACATGGGGTCTAGATAGTGGGAAGGTGTAGCCAAAAGCCTGGACACAGAACTCTGCCTAGATCTTGCAGAGCACCCAGACCTCAAAAAGCAAAAGATACAGAATCCTCCATGGTGCAGGGTCAGCTATGTCGGACACCAAGTCACCTGGTACCTTTTTCATTGCAGCCAGCACAACGGCCCCTTCCGTCTTCCCTCTGGCTTCTGGATGTGTGGACACTGGCTCCATGTTGACTCTGGGATGCCTGGTCAAGGGCTATTTCCCCGAGCCCGTGACCATGACATGGAACTCAGGATCCCTGACCAGCGGAGTGCACACTTTCCCAGCCATCCTTCAGTCGGGCCTGTACTCGCTCACCAGCATGGTAACTGTGCCCTCCAGCCAGAAGAAGGCCACCTGCAACGTAGCCCACCCGGCCAGCAGCACCAAGGTGGACAAGGTCGTTGGTAAGGACAGTTCCCAAGGAGATCCGGGTCCCCTGGAAGCCAAGTGTGGGGTCAGCCTTCCTGAGTGCATCCACCACGGGCACAGGGAAACTCCTGTCTGTCTCCTGCATGGAGGCCTCTGCCCACACTCATGTTCAGGGAGATGTCCTCTGGGGGTTTGCACCAGGCCCAGGGTGGGTGCAGGCTGGATGGCTTGTCTATGGGACAGAGGCAGATGGCCACTGGCATCGGGCCTGCCAAGAGCCATATCCGGGGGACAGCCTGGGCCTGACTGAGCTCACCCCTTACACCCAACCCATCTTCCCTCAGCTCAGCACCTTCTCTCCTCCAACCCCAATAACCCCATCATTCTTTCTGCAGAGCCCAGACCCCGAGTACCTGGACCCACGTGTCCCACATGTCCCAAGTGCCCACGTAAGTCACCAGGCCCCCTTCTCCAGCCCAAGTGGGGACTGAGCACCCAGAGGAGCCCTGTGTCAGAAGGAAGCCCCCAGGTGCTGATCTGTTCCTTTCGTCTCCCACTCCAGCTCCTAACCTCCTGGGAGGACCATCTGTCTTCATCTTCCCCCCAAGGCCCAAGGACACGCTCATGATCTCCCTGACCCCCAAGATCACGTGTGTTGTGGTAGATGTGAGCCAAGATGAGCCTGATGTCCAGTTCACATGGTTCGTGGACAACAAGCAGGTCAACACAGCTGAGACAAAGCCCCGGGAGGAACAATTCAACACCACCTTCCGCGTGGTCAGTGTCCTCCCCATCCTACACCAAGACTGGCTCAATGGCAAGGAGTTCAAGTGCAAGGTCAACAACAGAGCCCTGCCAGCCCCCGTTGAGAAGACCATATCCAAAGTCAGAGGTGGGAGTGTGGTGCGGGCCAGTGGGAGGTCGGGTGGCACTGTGGGAGTGAAAAGAGCAGAGCCACCCTGTCCAGGCCTCTGACCTGGCATTGAACATGTGTTGATCTCTCTCCCTACAGGGGAAGCCCGGGAGCCTGACGTGTATACCCTGCCCCCAGCCCGAGAGGAGCTGTCCAAGAACAAAGTCAGTTTGACCTGCCTGGTCACTGGCTTCTTTCCTTCTGACATCCACGTGGAGTGGGCGAGCAATGGGCATCCAGTGAATATACAGGACTACAAGACCACCCCACCCATGAAGGACACTG